TAGAGAAGAAAAAGACTTGAAAGAAAAGAAGATAATCACATATGAGGAAACATGCATGGACATAGATACTTATGAGAGAGAAAAAAAGAACTTATGATATGAATCAGAGCCATTAAATTACTTCTAGCAAAGTACTACTATCCAACAGAAAGATCACATTTACTAGGCTACTGGGCAAGACATTTACTTTTACATCTTCTTTAAGAGAGGACTTGAGGAAGAAAAATTAAACCAAGTTTTCAGCTACTTGGCAAGTTCAAAAATAAGTTAATCTCTTCTTAAAATAACTCCTCAGATTTCAAAGTGTCACTCAATACTGTACTCTATCTCCCATGCTACATAGTTATGTGATACAATTTCTTTGTGAGAGATCGATGGTATGTGTACTGTTATGTACATATAATTGTGTTTCCATCATTCAGATGGCAATGGGACTGTGCCATACTGCACACAGCCAACAGGATATTCACAGGGATTTTTATGTTAAATATATTATATTGTGCACCAAAACTCTGCTGTTCTATAAAGCATATGTATGATTAGGTAGTCTTTAAGTGTGCCTGCATTGTCTTTTAAGGATTGGCTGTAGGTCATACACAAAATCAGAACTGTGATTCAAGCTGATGGTATGAAACCGTGGCCCCAGTAGGTACACCTGGGCACACCTGTAGTGCAGACCTATAGGGTCTCTATGACGTGGGCAATGGGAGCTGAAGTCAGTCAGTTGATATGCATGTGAGACTCAGACCATCCTCCTGATACTGATTCTTAAAGAATTACCAAGCTGGGCATGATTTTCTTGCGTTCACGATATGCATATAGGTGTAGAAGTATCCATCTGTGTATGAATTTAATCTCTATCATGTTAAACCAAATGAAAAACTCCTGCAGTTGGATTACATTGAACTTCTACACTAAAAGTAGGTTTCACCATTTTCTGGAATTCATCTAGCACCTGAGTGCCTCATTAACCTACTTTCCTAAAATATTTTAAATACCACAAGCTTCTAGGCAGATTTGAAGATAAATAGCATCTTAAAATCAATATCCCCAAACTGTCTCCTAGCAAACTGTGCCTTTAGAGCTGTACTTCAAATAATGTTCACCTGAAGCTGAAAAAATAAATATATTTCCCCTCAACCTGTGACAAATTTAGGATATTGGCCCATGTCAGCTACAGCTAAAACCAAACCCCTTATCCTTTCAAAGAGAAGTTTACCCTTGTCAGCAATGAGCTTGAATAAAAATGCATTTTCATTGCTGCCACGTACAAATTTTTTGTAACTAAACAGACATGCTGTCTAGCATGGGGATCTAAAAAATCCCCAAGCTTAAACCAAGAAAGCCATCTTAAAACCAACATTTACTCTAAAAAGCCCTCTGAAATATTAAATATAAGACAGGCTATGGTGAGCACATGATGGCATAAAGGAACATTATGGCAGAAATGGTGTACAAAGATTGAATTCCACTTTTGTACAATTCACTTATAGCTTCACTACCTCTGCCTATTGCTGGTATTCCACATTTTGAATGCCATACTTAAAACCTTCCTATTTTCTCCAGTTAAGCAACTGTAGCTGAAGTATAGCATGACTAGCACTGACTTCTACACACACACACAAATCAAAATACCACATAAAACTATTCTAGCAACTTAGACCTGTCCAGTATTTTCACAAAACCTCCTGAGTTAAGAATTCTAAGCCTTGTCTCTACCAAAATTTGAGTCATATTCTTTAGATAAAAAAGGGTTAGGCTTTATTAACAAAGAAGAGGTGAAAAATTACATTTTCCAAGCTTACATGAATGTTGGAAGACAAAATTTTAGATCTCTTGGTCAGATTGTTCCATCTTTTTCACTGTTGTTTATTCATATCTCAGAAAATACTACCAAATCTAAATTAATGACAATTTAACCTCTGGTGGTTAGATATTCCCTAACAAAACTGGAAGAGAAATTTAAAAACTAGATACTGGAAAGAGGTTGATTAAGAGACAGTAAATCTCCTCTAAGTTATTTAATATGCAAAAGTCCCCTGAAGGCCTGTATTTAGTAATGAAACACATTTTCTGCTAAACTTGTTTCTTGTTTTGCCTGGGAGACTACCTGCACAGAGAAACTACAGCTCCCTAATGGTCACAGGGACCTGAGAGGACCAATGAGAAGAATCACTGCACAAAGTACAGGGATCACTTTTCCATTTGTGAATAACACTCAGCAAAGCCACAAAGGGTTATCCCAGTGAATAAACTCTCCCCAACCACTCAATTTCTCAAAAAAACCCCAGTATGCCTAATGCGTGACTTTGGGCAGAAAGTGTCACTATGAAAAATAATTTGTTCACACCTAACAACTTCATCCTTTATTCTAAAGCAGCATACTTTGAGGTTGGTCAAGCACCCTCAATCTATTTAAAAGTGAGAGAAATAAATGATTCTGAACTTGAAGGAAACCCTCCAGTAAAAAGCTCATGCAAGACATAACCTTTGTGCTACTGGAAGAGATTATTTCAAAAGCTTCTTGGTTCCACCTTGCTTCACATGATGCCTTTCAAGGATGAAGTTATCCTGCAATCTTATTCTGGTTGTATATAGGTATTTTAACCAATGAGAAACATCAGCTCACCAGTTTGAAGCACATTTCTGTAAACCAAGTGTACCTGCCTTGCAAGGAATTGCAAATAGTAGACAAGAAAGATTTTGCTTGCATCCAACTGTGAGATCTTAAGTCTATGAACTGAAAGCAAACCTCTGAGAATGCATTCAGTGTTTCTTTTCTTTTCTTTTTTTCTTTTTTTTTTTTTTTTTCAGGTATTAGGAGTATTTGGCTTTAGAAATAATACCATTCAAGTCCAGCAATCATACTTCGTCTCTACTTCCAAAAAAAGGATAAAGAAGCATAGAAGTATCGAGACTTCACAGTAAATGTCTTTCCTGTACTTGATCAATGGACAAATAAAATATGAGTTTCGGACTGCAATTTTTAATGGGAATTACTGAAAGAAAAATTAACTAGCGTTTCTACCAGCTACTTATATTAAGACAATGAAATGAGCTTACTTACTGATGCCTATGTATCCAAAGACAGAGAAAAATGAAAATCATGAGACAAGGCAGATTTAAAATTAAAGTGCTTAGTTCCATTTCATTTGCTATAAACACCAAATGAAGAAAACAAGATACAAGGCAGAACTCTAAATGAAAGATGATTGTCTTAGGACAACTAAAGACAGGAAATACTGTAATAAAATTCATGAAAAAAAGTAATAAAAGTTATTTCCCAAATAATAATTTCCTAAATTATAGCACTGACTTGAAATCAAATATTTTACAGAAAAAAATATAATTTGTAATTATTTTTATTGAAGCATGCTATTTTCTTTCAAATCCAAAGGATTTTAATTTGTCTTGTAAGGATTTTTACAAGCTTATATTTAATCATTTCCTTAGCATGATGAATATGAGTATATCTTAGCTGTATGTAAAGGTGTCTGAGAGAAAATATTCCAAATATGGCACCTTTATTGGTGCAATGAAACTATTTTTAGTAAAAATGAACATAAATCTAAGCCTCAAAGTCAGTACTGCAAATCTGTAAATTTGCACCTGTATGTTGCCGTACTAAAACATAGGCTTGTTCTGGGTTTAGCATAAGGTATTCATCACTACAAAATGCAGATTCATCCACTGGGATATCCAGTTCCCACAAATAATCAGCTTTATATCACTGCCAGCAAAATTAGTAGAAGTGAATCATTATTTTTAGTAGAAATTTATTTAAATGCAAAAGAAACAGGAATTTTATCTAGCAGGGCACCTCACTGTACGTGGAAGTGCACAGATGTGATCTCATGCAGTTCAAAAGCAGAAGTGCGTACATTCAGGAGTCACTATAAGCTACTGTCAAACATACTTTTTAGCTCCCTTCCTGCCCAAGCAGTTAATACTTCACAAAGGCAAAAGGCATGGGAAGAAGCAAGGAGAAGCTATTCTTGCTTCAAGCATAGATCCTCTATTTATGCTGAAAAGCTCAAGCTCTGGAGTTATTTCAAATGCAGAGACTGAACTCAGATGGCCAAGAGTTAAAGCAGCAGTGATACACTCTGTAATGCATCCTTAACATTTTATAAACTCAATCATAGCCTCTGGAAAATTTCAACTTTCTGAGCAAAACAAATAATGATTGAAAATAGAGCAGAAGTTGGGCAATCTTCAACACCAGCATCTCACTCTCTACCTGCCTCCAAACATTATTAATGCTATGCTCTTTAGCGTTAGTTGGTTTTAAAATATAAACATATATGAGTAAGTAGGCAAGCTTATCAACACCCCCCAGTATGATCCAAATATTAACTGGCTGTTCTCCCTTGTAGTATCTTCATAGTGAGAGTTAAATTATTGTTGTAGTCCATAAACTTCAGATTTAAAGAACCATGAAAAGAAAGGCATCTTTGCAATATTATTATTTTACGAGCATGTAAATAGGTAAAAGATATTCATTGAACTGCTAGTGGTTTCTCTATTTTGATAGTTTCTTTAATTTCAATATTCAAACATTTTCAAATTTAGAGCAAAAAACATCCACTTTATTCACCAGAATATTTCTTACTATAGCAAATGGGGACTTTGGGTCAGCAATTTCATTGGATGTGTTTTGTCGACAGGTTTGAAAAATGTGGTGTGCTGGTCTGGATTTGCAAAGGCAGTAAAGGATCCCAGTTCTAGCTCACGCTGGTAGCAATGGCCTGCTCTAGGCTATTGCTCTAGAAAAAAACCCATCTGCTTATACCACTTTTTTTTCCAACTTAAAACCTATTAGAGTCACCCATGCACTACAAGAAATTCCTATTAGCAGGTTAAACTGGTTTTCTCTCCTTACAGACTTATCCAATTTATTTCCTGGATATCTGAGACCCTTTCATGAAGAAAAACACTGGAAAATGAATTATGGCTTCGGTCACTAACAATTTTATAGATTTATCACAAGGAATACTTACATGGTGTTGTCACCAAGCTCTTCATAGAGGTTATTGGCAGTGGTGCTTGCTGGTTTGCCTGCTGGTAAAGCCATCTGGATTCTTGCAGTCTTGGCGCATTCAGTCTGCCGTCTTTGGTAAGCCACACAGGGAAAGAGAAATACTCATTAGAAACCCTAACATAAGCAAAGGCATAAAGTTTTCTATGTTGTTTTGGGTTTTGTTTGTTGTTTGTGTTTTTTTTTCTTGCAGTTTTCAAAACATCCCTGTGTTTTGTCTTCTTCAAAGAAAAATAATGTGATAATCTGTTTCTGGTTTTTTTAAAGCTCTCTATTATTTGTTATCTCTTGGTGGCATCCCAGAGGTCCCCCTGGAAGGAACCTCCTGACCAAGCAGTATGTCACTGACACAGCAGAAAATAATATTTCCCAGGAAATAATGTGTGTGCTAGCTTTGACACTTTTCTCATTAGGAGGCTTATCTGTTTTGGCTGCCAAAGACTAACAATAGAGAGAGTAAGCTCTTTGGTCAAGGGCTTCATTCGAGCCAAGAAACTGTCATTTTAAGCACCAAAAAAAAAAAGTCTCTGGCAATGCTGAAGTTATCACTTACAACTTCTTTCTCATTAGAGTTGGCTGGGAAATTTCTGTCTCAACAGTTTTCCTGGAAAAATTACTTTTTTAAATAGGTAAATTCACTATGAAACAAATCTATTTTTCTACCTAGAAAACAAAGCTGGTAGTCCCACATGTGTGCAACTGGGGGAGCACCACTGAGGTGACATGACTGATCTACCTTGCTTTGATTTTGAGGGTGATTGATACCTGATCATTCCTTGGGAAGTCACTCCATGCATGCCAGCCTGACATGCACTTGCTTGCTTGAGAAATACCACAGACACGGAAATATTTATTTTTTTCCTCTGCATAACTCTAACTCTTACTGAATGTTAAGTACCTCTTATTCTTAAAAACAAAGACTGGTAGACTGATAGAATTCCTATACATGCTGTTAGAAACAAAACTGAAAATAAGTACTTACTCTTTGAATCTGTTTTGTTATGCAAAAAAAGATAAAGAGATAAAAAGGAAGGTTAAATGAATTCTTTTTGCAACAATTGTCTTAAACAGTGAACCTAATGAGAGTATTAAAGTAGATGCTACTTAATTGTTCCCCACATAAAATTACAGGATTAATGACATCTTTAAAGAATCATGATTCCCAGAGCTGAACAGTGTTTAGCTGCTATTTGTGATACTCTTGAAACAATTTTGTAGTCAGCATAAACATGAATTAACAACAGAGAAAACTGCTTTGGGCTTACAGAAAATTCCCTGCCACACACACACAAACAAAAGGCATGAAGGCATGAATATACCTTATGATATTTCTTTAACAGTTAGCCTACTAGAAATGCATTTTTATGCATATATTAACATATTTCAAGAATTCTATAAAAACATCTTCAGTAGTGAAGGAGTATTATTTTTGATTACTATCTAGAACATACTGGTCTTTTGTGATTAGTAAATAATACATTATTTATATTTACCCTGTGGGGTAGTACTGGAGAGTGTATTTCAAAGACATTACTTAATAGAAAAGAATAATGATAGTTTCTGGCTTATTTACAAGTCAAATGTAGGCACTGAACTGCACTTTTGACAGTGATAATTTTATAAATGAGTTTTCTTTTCAGTAACTATTTTTACAAAATCTAGTTAGCTGATCATTGGTATGAAAGCACTGAAAAATGGACTGAAAAAAGTTTTAACAGTGAGAAAATCTTAACATTATATGTGCTGTATGACAATTACATTTATCCTGGCAGTAATCTCTACACTCAGTGGCAGAGTGGAGCACATTCTTTGCCAGAATGTTTTCAGGTAAAACACTGAATTTCCATTTGAAAATGAGAAAAAAGGGTGTAATATGAAAACAAACCATAAGGCTCAGGACAACTTTTGGTGTTGATATTAACACTAAAATTCCTCTTATTTTCCTTGACACTCTTCAGTGACACATTTTTGATAAAAGTATAGTTTATTCACGTTGGTCTTCTATAAATGAAATTCCAAGTCATACTTCTAGACAATAAAAATGTGATTTTTTAATGAAATGAAGTTGGGCATATTCCTTAAAACTCTTCAAAAAGATTCATAATCTTTAGATAACCTAACAGATGTTGAGGAAAAATACTGCTATTAGATTTCTTAAAGAAACAGGCAATTCAAATAACAACCACCACCTAATTGTAGGTTGAACTGGTTCAGTAGCGTTTCACTGGAAGCAAATTTTATATACAATTTTGGGAGAAGTAAAGCAGCTTTGAGATGCACTGCCATCCCAGTGGCATGATTTGTCAAGCTCTTTCAAAATCTTTTCAAAAGACTTCTTCCTTTGACCCAAATTGTTTGGAGACACTGGATGTAAATATAAACCACAGAACATGCAGTGGCTATCAAGATGTGGATATCCTTGGATGTTTTTCTGATGTCACTAAGGAAGGTGCTCTCAGACAGACTGCTGTTTTTTACATGTAGGATATGCTTTTTAGATGACAACTAACATAGTGCTTTGCTAACTCCTAACTGCAGTGCAGAAAGGAAAAATGCAGTTTAAATCTCACCTGGCATATTATACCAGATTACATCTGTTGTAGCATTCAGATTATAATTGTTTTACTGTAAAACATGTATATCAGCCCTTCCATGCCCTCTCCCTCCCTGACTGGTGCAACACTGCAGCAGGAGTCTTCATTGGCTTCATCATAATGAAGGGAGCAGGTACCAAAGCATTTTTTGCAGAAACAAAACAAATGAAAAAGAAAAGCAAACAAACAAAAAATCCATCAGGGCTCTGGGAACTTCTTCTTAAATGGTCCTGTGAAGCAGGGGTTTTCCATTATGGGGTTCTTACATTCCAGCTAGTTGAAAAATTTTAAAATCAAGATAGGAAGCTATGGAGGTACAGACCAATATATACAGAAGTTGAATATAGCCAGTTACTGGGGAAGATGCACAAAATTATTTATATTTTGATTTTGTAATCGTTGGTAGTTCTTTGGGTGCTCAGAGCAGGCACATGGAATTAGAAATCTTTCATGAAAAGAAATTAAAGAATAAATATACAGTTGAGAGGAACCTGTTAGTGATGTTGATCCTTTAATTAGTCTATTGGCCCAATTACTTAAACCTAGTGAGTCCGTAAGAGGCGAGTGAGTGGAAATATCAAGAAGGTTCTCTCTGAGATACACTGCTTTAGACAGTGCTAAAATGGCACAAAGTCATTTTTTCACATAACATTTGCAATTAAGAAGCAGACAGCTGGAGAAAAAATATAACTGTATTTTAGGATATAAACAAAAAAGTTGAGACCTCTTATTTTGCCCAAGCTATAAATTTCAATTTTTGATACATTTATTGAAACAGCACCTTTTTCCTCCTCTTTGGGATATTTTTTATTTTTTTTTTTTGGCATGGAAGTCAGCTCTGAACTGACACTTGTGTTTCAAACACCTGGATTTTGATCTTGTGTTTGGCACATATTCTAAAACAATTACTACACCACAACTATAGAAAGTATAGCAAGATGCACTTCCTGTGCATTTTCTCTTTCCATGCACACCCCACATCAAGTAGTGACCAACTCTTGTGACAAGAAGGAAAATAAAATTTCTTCTTTGTATAATAATTTCTTTGCAACGAAGGATAATTTTCAATGCAGTTCTGGTAAGAAACAGCATCCTTACTACAACATTGCTACCAAAAAAAAGGAGGAGTAATACTTACTGTCTGTAGCTGACCATAACTATTAAAATAGCTGGCATACAGCAAAGGATGATTATGACGGCCAGAGCAAGTAACGCGCCTTCCGTGAAGCCTACAGCTTGTGCCTGCTTCTTGACATTTGCTACCACATCTGGGGTGCGGATCTCCAGGATGCGTCCCCCTTGCCCCAGGTATGGCTGAAACTCTTTATTGATATCCAGCAGTTTGCCATCCAGGAACCTTCAATGTCACAAAAGAAAACTATTACACCCAAGTTCATTAACCGTGTTTGAATTACTGCATAGTTGGGTTAATAACTGTGGTCTGATAAAGCATATACCTCTTTTTTATGTGCTTAAGAATATTAATAATTCTCTGTAATCCCTATGTCAGTGATAATTCCAAAGTACTTAATACCAGATCACAGTTTAATCACTGAAAAGGAGACGTGAGCTGAAGTTTATCCTAATTTCTAGGGGCAAAAAGTTCTCCATGCAATTGACAGCAGCGTGGCAAATGGCTTGTTTTGTGCTTTTTCCTTCAGTGTTCTATCACAGAGGATTAAGTAATCCTCCTACACGCATCCCAAAAGATCACTCTGGCCTAAAGATCGCCTAGATGCTACTCTCAAACTGGGTAATTTTTAGAGGATTTTCCTTAGCTTCTGAGAGAAATTCTTTAGCTGGAGGGATAGCCTACAGTTTGTTCCCTTTTGACTTCCCTTTCAATATTAAAAAGAAAAGGGATTTAAAAAAAACCTATGCTTTTATCAATCCCTACCCTCTTCCCCCAGCTGCATCAATTCTGATCCTCATTCTTGCATCTGCTCTGTCTAATTAGTCCCCAGGTCTCTGCTATTTTCTTAGATTGCAGTGCTGGTAGTAAGTATTGAATTATTTGAATACGACTTTCACTTATAGCATGACTGATGGCAAGAGGAAAACAAAGAGGAACAATGATCAGATGAACTCATGTCTAGTGGAAGTGAGCATTGCAGTAGCTGAAGGATGTGCCCTCTCAACGTTTGGCATAGTGCTGAGGGAACTTATTTACTGGCTTCCTTTCCTTAAACATTTCCTTTGTGACCTTCAAACTGGAGGTCACAAAAGCTGACAAATGGAGATTACAGTAAACTTGCCTCCCCTTTTTTTTTTTTGGAGAAGATGCAGGCCATTTCTTCTGGAGTTTCACACATCTTCTAAAAAGAAAAACACTAAATGCTTATAATAAACTATAATTAAACTCCATGGGTTTTCCAAACATTTTTAGATACTAGAACGATCTTGACTAACATTACAGGAACAATAGGCTATCTATACAGCTATAGAGAAAAATGTTGTCTTCAAGTTGTCCTACAAGACACACTGTTAAGACAAGAGTTAGGTCCTAGGCAAAAGTAGGATACTAGCTAATCAGGAACCACATGGCTGCTGTCACTGCTTGCGACCTATAATTATGTCTATCTTCTGTCTGCATATCACCTACAAGAGGAATTTGGAACAATGTAGTTACCAAGAAAAGGACTGGAATAGTCTCTGAAAAAACAAATGCAGTGAAAAAAGTTTTAGTATCTGATCTGCTAATTGGCATTTTAAAGACGAGTAGCCAAATGCACATCCTAATCAAATGACCTCATTTCCCATATGATAGAAAATTTCCTATTGGATGACTTTTTAATAGCAAACAATGTTTGTATGGTGGTTTAACCCCTGCCAGCAATTGAGCACCACACAGCCACTCACTCCCCCCCCAGTGGGATGAGGAAAGAATTGGAAGAGTGAAAGTGAGAGAAGTTGTGGGCTGAGATAAACACTGTTTAATAAGGACAGGAAAAGCCACACACACAAGCAAAGCAAATTAAGAACTTGATTCACTCCTTCCCATCAGCAGGCAGGTGTTTAGCCATCTCCAGGAAAGCAGGGTTCCATCACACTTAATGGTTACTTGGGAGGACAAATGCCATCACTCTGAACCTCCCCTCCCTTCCCTCTTCTTCCCCCATCTTTATAGGCTCAGCATGCTGCCATAATGCATGCTTTGTTCCCTCCCAGCTTTTTGTGCATCCCCAGCCTATGCGCTGGTGGGGTGGGAGGCAGAAAAAGCCTTGACTCTGTGTAAGCACTGCTCAGCAGTTAGTAAAACATCCTTGCATTATCAACACTGTTTTCA